CAAGGGGGAGGGGGGGGGGTTGGTACTTAGCTGTTTGCACCTCCGGGGTGTAGTTCCTGCCTATCAATAAATGGACGACAAATTGTGTCAACACTGCGGGAGGTTCCTGTGTTTGTAGCTGAGAGAAGCTCCTCCGTGTCACCATCTCTCTCTGGTTTATATTTACTGTTTGTGGTAAATCTCCTCCACCATCATGCTGGAAGGTTACAACACACTAACAACACAGTGGGTGGTTATACGTACCGTGGGGTTCCTGACCACAAAACTCAACCACCAGTTGGCAGCACCCGTGATGAAGGTCCCCTCCTCCCCCCCCCCCTGCTGTCAATATGGCCCAACTTTGTTCAACACTCCCGCGAACCTTCAGTATTATTCTAACATTCCACCGCCTGTAAGTATACTCGTTATAGCACAGTATGACAGAGATTTCTCAAGAATTTCGATTTATGAAAACCTGAGGATAACTGCCATATGTTTGTGACAACTGCAGAGTGGCGCCGGGGCATGAGCAGCCGTCTTCGTTATTTAATAATTTAATAGATGAAACAATACGAGAAATCCAAGTAATAATTGTACCTCACCCTCTTAGAATCTGTCAGCACTTAACGTTACCTCATACTTCGCATGTTCAGAATTTAACCAATAAAACCCCACCACCCACACATTCTACCTTCACGTCCCATAATTAGCAGGAGTGAGAGCGAGTTCCAACACACAGGAGCCTTGTAAACACGTCAGTAAGAATGCCGGTAACAAGGAGGGGGAGCCACCTGACCACCAGATGAAGGGTTGTGTCGGTTTTGTGAACACTTGGTTAATAAATTCCTCCTTATCTGAGTATATATCTATAATTGGTTGATTTAAGTACAACATAAAGATGGCTGCCAAATTGGTAGTAAAATTGCACTTAGCTATCAAAATGGGGGTAAAATTGCACTGAGACTACTTGGCTGTCAAAATGGAGATAAAATTACCCTGAGACTCTACCTGGCTGTCAAAATAGGGGGTAAAATTGCACTGAGAAATTTCTTTTCATTAATTTGGGGGAAAATACTGACTGTTGACATAAGGATTTCTGAGACACTGTTAACCTGCCTGTAATACTCACCTGAAGATACCTTTAGAGTAGCGTTTACCTGTTAATTAGTGGAGGAGGGATAATTTACCTGTTAATAAGTGGAGAAAGGAGAGTTTACATGTTAATTACTGGAGGAAGGAGAGTTTACCTGTTAATTAGTGAAGGAAGTATAGTTTACCTGTCAATAAGAAGACAGTAGTTTACCTCTTAATTAGTGAAGGAAGGAGAGTTTACCTGTTAATTAGTAGAGGAAGGAGAGTTTACCTGTTAATCAGTGGAGGAAGTAGAGTTTACCTGTTAATTAGAGGAGGAAGTAGAGTTTACCTGTTAATTAGTGGAGGAAGGAGAGTTTACCTGTTAATTAGTGGAGGAAGGAGAGTTTACCAGTTAATTACTAGAGGAAGGAGAATTTACCTGTTAATTAGTGGAGGAAGGAGAGTTTACCTGTTAATTACTGAAGGAAGGAGAATTTACTTGCTAATAATTGAGGGGAAGGAGAGTTTACCTGTTAATTAGTGGAGGAAGGAGAGTTTACCTGTTAATTAGTGGAGGAAGGAGAGTTTACCTGTTAATAATTGAGGGGAAGGAGAGTTTACCTGTTAATTAGTGGAAAAAGGAGAGTTTGCCTGTTAATTAGTGGAGGAAGGAAAGTTTACCTGTTAATTAGTGGAGGAAGGAGAGTTTACCTGTTAATTAGTGGAGGAAGGAGAGTTTACCTGTTAATTAGTGGAGGAAGGAGAGTTTACCTGTTAATTAGTGGGGGAAGTAGAGTTTACCTGTTAATAATTGAGGGGAAGGAGAGTTTAACTGTTAATTTGTGGAGGAAGGAGAGTTTACCTGTTAATAATTGAGGGAAGGAGAGTTTAACTGTTAATTAGTGGAGGAAGGAGAGTTTACCTGTTAATTAGTGGAGGAAGGAGAGTTTACCTGTTAATTAGTGGAGGAAGTAGAGTTTTATTACTGGAGGAAGGAGAATCTACCTGTTAATTAGTGAAGGAAGGAGAATTTACCTGTTAATTAGTGGAGGAAGGAGAGTTTACCTGTTAATTAGTGGAGGAAGGAGAGTTTACCTGTTAATTAGTGGAGGAAGTATAGTTTACCTGTTAATTACTGGAGGAAGGAGAATCTACCTGTTAATTAGTGAAGGAAGGAGAATTTACCTGTTAATTAGTGAAGGAAGTAGAGTTTACCTGTTGATTAGTGCAGGAAGGAGAGTTTACCTGTTAGTTAGTGGAGGAAGGAGAGTTTACCTGTTAATTAGTGGAGGAAGTAGAGTTTACCTGTTAATTACTGGAGGAAGGAGAATTTACCTGTTAATTAGTGAAGGAAGGAGAATTTACCTGTTAATTAGTGGAGGAAGTTGAGTTTACCTGTTAATTACTGGAGGAAGGAGAATTTACCTGTTAATTAGTGAAGGAAGGAGAATTTACCTGTTAATTAGTGAAGGAAGTATAGTTTAGCTGTTAATTACTGGAGGAAGGAGAATTTACCTGTTAATTAGTGAAGGAAGGAGAGTTTACCTGTTAATTAGTGAAGGAAGTAGAGTTTAGCTGTTAATTAGTGGAGAAAGTAGAGTTTACCTGTTAATTAGTGGAGGAAGGAGAGTTTACATGTCAATGAGTGAGGGGGAGGAGAGTTTACTTGTCAATTAGAGAAGAAAGGAGAATTTCCCCCAAGCGTGTGCGTGTGTGTGTGTGTATGTGTATGTGTGGGTATATGTACATCTGGCTTCCCCCCCCAACGTTACAGGGGGCTCACACACCTGCTCTTAGATGCACATTATAATCGGCTGACGTTTCACTCCGTCAACCAACATCTGCTGCTGCTTACGGTACTGTTATGTGCTGTAGGTCTGTCCGCAGTCTCCCCACACCTGTGTAGTGTCTGACCTGGATATATTGTGGTCTTGTTCTTGTTCCTGTTCTCTTGTTCGTGTTGTTGTTGTTCTTCTTCTTATTGTTCCTGTTCTCTTGTTCTTTTTCTCCGCCTCCTTCTTCTCCTCTTCCTGTTTCTGCCCCCGTTCTTCCTCCTCCTCCTCCTCTTCCCCCTCCAACCCTGTGTTAACTTCTCAACACAATACCATTACAGTCACCTCCTCTCCTACTTACACTTGATAACTACCACAGCTAACTACCGCAGATAACTACCTCAGTCATAATGTCCACCTTCACCTCCACAGCAAGCATAACATTCACACGGTATATCTACCTCCGAGTCGGCAACACGGACGCAACACGGACGCAATACCGACGCAATACGGACGCTTCAGTGACCGTCCTAATCACACATTTTAAGTCAGTTTGAAGATCTCTGCCAAAAGGAGTTCGTTTTTAGTACAGTGGGGATTATTTTCACAGCATTTATCAGTTGTTAGTGTACCAATAGCTTCCTCTAGCGGTGGTGGTTGTCGCTTCGCAAACACCACCGGAGCGAAACGTAACATCTTGTCTCTTAGTCTTTCTTCAATGTAAAATCATGATGAGGTTTAGTTTTGAGTTGGGTAATCCTACAAGGCAGATGACCCAGCGATAAGCAAGGATGTGGTATTGGTACTGATATATACATGTCTTTGTAACTCCTAATCCAACCTAACCTAACCTAACCCAACCCAACCTAACCCAACCCAACCTAACCTAACCCAACCTAACCCAACCCAACCTAACCCAACCTAACCTAACCCAACCTAACCCAACCCAACCTAACCCAATTGTTGATGGACATACACACTTAAAGATTGACTTCTCTCAGTATTTAAGGCCCTCAAGTTACTTCCACTAACCTGAGTGTGTGAAGGAGGATGTTCTCGCCTCTCTGTCCCCTTAACACAAGACCCAAGATCCTTTACTAAGTGTCCGGTGTGTTGGTGAGGTGGACAGTGGGACCTCCATATAACGGAATTCTCTCTCCATATAATCCGTTATGTGGAGGGTTTCAGTAACGGACTCAAGATATAATGGACTTCATCTGTGTATAGTTCGTTACGTGGAGGTTTCATAGTAATAGACCTTCGATATAACGGACTTTCACATGTATATAGTTCATTATATGGAGGTTTCACATCTAATGGACCCTCGATATAAAGGATTTTCACCTGTATATATTTTTTTACATTGAGGTTTAACAGCTAATGGACCTTCGCTATAACGGACTTTCATCTCAATATTTAGTCCGTTAAAGAGAGGTCTCACTACCCTCAACCTTCCTAATTGACTGAGATAGAGAGACTCTCTCTCTCTCTCTCTCTCTCTCTCTCTCTCTCCACCATCAAGTAGACGTGTACAGGGGCGAGAGGACCTGTAGAACTGGTGATTTGGATAAAATAAACGATGTTATCTCCCCACATTCCCCCCACACCCTCTCCATCCCCACACCTCTCATCCCTCCCCCCCAACACATCCCTCCCCCCCTACCCCCACAGCCCCACAAATCTCACATAGGAAATTATTGTACCAGAAATGTTTTCTGATGACATTTGGCAGCCATGTTGTTTACATTCTTGTTCAACTCTCTTACGTTGTTTTACTTCTTGCAGGTGTTTGTACACACACTCACGCATCACACACACACTCACACGCATCACACACACTCACACACACACACGCATCTTACACACACACACACACACACACACTCTCCACACACACACACACACACTCACACACGGATTACACACACACACACTCCACACACATCACACACACACACACACACACATCCACACACACACACACACACACACACACACACACGCGCGCGCATCTACACACACACACACACACTCACACACGCATCACACACACACTCACACACGCATCACACACACACACACACACACACACACTAAATTATCCAACTCAAAGTAGTCAGAACGCCGACTCGTAAATACTGGAAAGCGATGGCCACTGACCACTAACCAATTACTATGGACGTCAGCAACCAGTTAGTATATATCAGCAACCAGTTAGTATACGTCAGCAACCAGTTAGTATACGTCAGCAACCAGTTAGTATACGTCAGCAACCAGTTAGTATACGTCAGCAACCTGTTAGTATACGTCAGCAACCAGTTAGTATACGTCAGCAACCAGTTAGTATACGTCAGCAACCTGTTAGTATGCGTCAGCATCAAGTTAGTATACATCAGCAACCTGTTAGTATACGTCAGCAACCTGTTAGTATGCGTCAGCATCAAGTTAGTATACATCAGCAACCTGTTAGTATACGTCAGCAACCTGTTAGTATACGTCAGCAACCTGTTAGTATACGTCAGCAACCAGTTAGTATACGTCAGCAACCAGTTAGTATACGTCAGCAACCAGTTAGTATCCGTCAGCAACAGTTAGTATACGTCAGCAACCTGTTAGTATACGTCAGCAACCAGTTAGTATACGTCAGCAACCAGTTAGTATCCGTCAGCAACAGTTAGTATACGTCAACAACCTGTTAGTATACGTCAGCAACCTGTTAGTATGCGTCAGCATCAAGTTAGTATACATCAGCAACCTGTTAGTATACGTCAGCAACCTGTTAGTATACGTCAGCAACCTGTTAGTATACGTCAGCAACCAGTTAATATACGTCAGCAACCTGTTCGTATACGTCAGCAACCTGTTAGTATACGTCAACAACCAGTTAGTATACGTCAACAACCAGTTAGTATACGTCAACAACCAGTTAGTATACGTCAACAACCAGTTAGTATACGTCAGCAACCAGTTAGTATACGTCAGCAACCAGTTAGTATACGTCAACAACCAGTTGGTATACGTCAGCAACCAGTTAGTATACGTCAACAACCTGTTGGTATACGTCAGCAACCAGTTGGTATATGTCAGCAACCGTTATATACGTCAGCAACCAGTTAGTATACGTCAGCAACCTGTTAGTATCCGTCAGCAACCAGTTAGTATACGTCAGTAAAGCAGGCGGCCAGTTTCAGCAACCTGTTAGTATGCTCGCTAAACCAGTTAGTATACGTCAGCATCCAGTTAGTATACGTCGCTAAACCAGTTAGGCATACGTCAGCAACCAGTTAGTATACGTCAGCATCCAGTTAGTATACGTCAGCAACCTGTTAGCATAATACTGTACGTCAGCAACATAGTTAGTATATCACATCCAGTTAGTATACGTCAGCAACCAGTTAGTATACGTCAGCATCCAGTTAGTATATGTCAGCAAACCAGTTAGTATACGTCAGCGTTCAGTTAGTATACGTTGCGCATCCAGTTAGTATACGTCAGCAACCTGTTAGTATATACTGTACGTAATATACGTCAGCAACCTGTTAGTATACGTCAGCAACCTGTTAGTATACGTCAACAACCAGTTAGTATACGTCAGCAACCAGTTAGTATACGTCAACAACCTGTTAGTATACGTCAGCAACCTGTTAGTATACGTCAACAACCAGTTAGTAAACGTCAGCAACCAGTTAGTATACGTCAGCAACCAGTTAGTATACGTCAACAACCAGTTAGTATACGTCAGCAACCAGTTAGTATACGTCAGCAACCAGTTAGTATACGTCAACAACCAGTTAGTATACGTCAGCAACCAGTTAGTATACGTCAACAACCTGTTGGTATACGTCAGCAACCAGTTGGTATATGTCAGCAACAAGTCTGGTTCACCTCCTCCCTCCTTCCCTCCCTCCCACTAGTTCAAGACAACAAGTGACGATTCTATCTCCCTCCCTCTCTCCCCTTCACCTCATTCTTTCCTTCCCTCCCTCCCTTCCTTCATTCCTCTTCCCCCCCTCCTCCCTCCCTCACCTTCCTCTTCTCCCTTCACCCTATTCCCTCCCCCCCTCTCTTCCCACCCTACCCTCCCTCTCTTTCCTCCCTTCCCTCCACTAATTGAAGGCAGTAAGTGATGACCTACACCCACGATGGCAACACACAACACACCCTGAGGCTTTATACACCTTCCAGTACACACGAGTTCATTCATAAACACCCGTCACCTTATAGTTGTACGGTGCAGGTACAGTAATTACCCCATTTAGTTAATACGGTGTTAGAGGTGTACCTACTGAACACTGTACCTGTAAACTGTGTTCCTTATGTAAACACGTGTTAGAAGTGTACCATAGTCTGTGTACCTTATGTAAACACGTGTTAGAAGTGTACCGTAAACTGTGTACCGTGTGTAAACACGTGTTAGGAGTGTAGCGTAAACTGTACCTTAAGTAAGAACGTTTTATAAGTGTACCGTAAAGTGTGTACCATAAGTAAGAACGCTTTATAAGTGTACCGTAAAGTGTGTACCATAAGTAAGAACGTGTTAGAAGTGTACCGTAAAGTGTGTACCTTAAGTAAAAACGCTTTATAAGTGTATCGTAAAGTGTGTACCTTAAGTAAGAACGTTTTAAAAGTGTACCGTAAAGTGTGTACCATAAGTAAGAACGTGTTAGAAGTGTACCGTAAAGTGTGTAACTTAGCTAAGAACGTTTTATAAGTGCACCCGAGACGCACTTAAGATGGCCACGTAATAGTGTACCTCCCAAGACCCTTAGAGTGAAGGAAGAGATGAGCCGTGTGGTGATGCTGGAGTGTGATGTGGTGATGATGTGGTGGTGGTGATGTGGTGGTGGTGGTAGTAGTGGTTGTGATGGTGGTGGCGGGAGTATGGGTGGTGATGGTTGTGGTAGGGGTGATGATGGTGGTTGTGGTGATAGTCGTGATGATAGTGGTGATGGTAGTACTGGCGGTGGTGATGGTAGTTATAACTATTAGCAGTAGTACCCGTAGTGATGATTGTGGTAGTAGTTGTGGTGGTGACTACAGCGTGACGGGAGGGAGAGAGGGAGGAACGGAAGAAGAAGCAGAGGAGGAGGAGGAAGGGAGCGAGGAGGAGGAGGGAAGGAGCAAGAGGAGGAGGGAAGGAAGGAGCAAGGGAGGAGAGGAGAGAAGGAGCAAGAGGAGGAGGGAGGAAGGAGCAAGAGGAGGAGGGGAGGGAAGAGAGCAAGAGGAGAGGGAAGGAAGGGCAAGGAGGAGGAGGAAGGAAGGGGAGGCAAGAGGAGGAGGAGGGAAGGAGCAAGAAGAGGAGGAGGGAGGGGAGAGGAGGAAGGAGGAAGGAGGAGGAGGAGGAGGAGCAAGAGGAGGAGGAGAGGGAAGGGAGCAAGAGGAGGAGGGAGGGAAGGAGCAAGAGGGAGGGAGGAGGGAAGGGAGGGAGGGAGGAGGAAGAGCAAGAGGAGAGGAGGAGGGGAGGAGAGAGAGGAGAAGCAAGAGGAGGAGGGAGGAAGGAGCAAGAGGAGAAGGGAGGGCAGGGAAGGGAGGAAGAGGGAGGACGGAGGAACAAGAGGAGAGAGAAGAACAAAGAAGAGGAGGAGGAGAAAGGAGGAATGGGGGAAGCAAGAGGAGGAAGGAGGAGGAAGCTGAATATAAAGATAAATGATCAATAATAAGGACAGGTTTGGTCAGAGAGAGAGAGAGAGAGCCACAAACTGATAGAAAGATAAACAGAGAAAGAGGATAAAGAGGAGACACAGAAAGATGGATTAAAAGTACACAAACAGAAGAGCTCTGTCCCCGTCAGGTGTGTGGTGAGGAGGAGGAGGAGGGAGAAGAGGATGAAGAGGAGGATGAGGAGGAGGGAGAGGTGGAGGTGAAGGAGGAGTGAGAAAGTGGAGGAAGAGGAGGAGGAGGAGGAAGAGTAAAACAGGTGGGAGAGGAGGAGAAGAAGGACGAGAAGTAGTAAGAGGAGGAAGAGGAGAAAGAGGGGGGTGGAAAAGGAGGTGGATGAGCCAGTCAGTCAGCCAGGTAGGTAGGTGTCGGGCTGGTTGGGGGGAGGGGGGGTGATCCAGGTGTAGTTAGCGTTGTGTGGCGCAGGATGTGGCGGTATCCGGCCTCTCAGTGATCGTCAGCACAACCCCTGCCACCATTATGACTCCATTATCCACCATTAACCCCGCCTAGCCTGGAATTAAGCTTATGACACTCGCCTTCAAGAACAGCCAAGAAGTTTTAGCCTCCGAGTCTTCAGTCCCCGGTGAGAACATGCAGGCAGAGAACGAGAACCACCCTCCCCCCAACCCTCCTCCAGGAAGTGATTACTACAGTTTATGGATCGTAAGTGACGATACTGCAGTCGTAACGTGTCCCTGCCATGCTGAGTTAATTCCCAGCTTGCTCATCGTCGCCTCTTTCTCATCGATGGTAACACACACACACACACACACACACTTGAGGGATGGATCTATGGCTTGGGGGGCGATAATGTGTAACGCAGTATCGCCAACATGAGCAATCAGGAGGAGCGTCTGGCGTGTCTCTTGTGTTGTCGCCTCTGACCTCGTAAGACCTACTGGATCATTGGTTACTAGCCTTGAACAACATCATCAGCTCGACCAATTAGTAGTGTTATGGCGATCACCTTTCAACCTGTATTGTATGTTATTATTCCTGATGTAAATGACTGCCTCGCCGTGACCCGCAAGAGGAGGAGGAGGAGGAGGAAGTGGAGTAGGAAGAGGAATATAAAAAAGTGAAGTAGGAAGAGTGGGAGAAGGAAGTGGAGGAGGAAGAAAAAAAGAAGAAGAAGAAGAGAAGGAAGAGGATAAGCAAGAAAAGGATGTTAAGGAAGGAGAAGAAGAGGAGGAGGTCGAGGATAAGGAAGAAGAATGAGAGAAGGAAGAGGAGGAGGAAGAAGGAAGAGGAGGAGGCAGCCTGTGTCTCCCTCCACCCCATAATGACACACGTATGGAAGGTACATCACCTTCCTCACATACTGACGATGACTTATGGTACGAGCATAAAGGGTCAGGCTGACTTAGGTGTCCTCTTCCAGACCTCTTGTTCCAGGCCTCCTGTTCCAGACCCCCTCTTCCAGACCTCTTGTTTCAGGCCTCTTGTTGCAGGCCTCATGCTCCAGACCTCCTCTTCCAGATCTCTTGTCTTTGGCCTCTTTTTCCAGGCCTCTTGTTCCAGACCTCTTCTTCCAGACTTCTTCTTCCAGACCTCTTCTGCCACCTATTCTTCTAGACCTCATGTTCCAGACTTCTTCTTCCAGACCTCTTTTTCCTGACATTTTTCTTCCAAATCTCTTGTTCCAGACCTCTTGTTCCAGACCTCTTCTTCCTGACCTTTTCTTCCTGACCTCTTGTTCCAGACCTCATGCTCCAGACCTCTTCTTACTGACCTCTTGTTCCAGACCTCTTGTTCCAGACCTCTTCTTCGTGACCTTTTCTTCCTGACCTCTTGTTCCAGACCTCTTCTTTCAGATCTCTATTTCCTGAACTCTTCTTCCAGGCTTCTTGTTCCAGAGCTCTTTTTCCAGACCCCTTCTTCCAAACCCATTCTTCCAGTCCTTCTTCCAAACCTCTTCTTTCAGACCTCATGTTCCAGACTACTTCTTCCAGACCCTTTCTTCCAGACCCCTTCTTCCAAACCCATTCTTCCAGTCCTTCTTCCAGACCTCCTCTTCCAGACCACTTCTTCCAGACCACCACCACCACCACCACCACCACCATTTCCCCTCACCGACCTTCTCCACTGGTGACCAAACAATAACAACTATCCTCGATAAACTAACTCAAATCATTACACACACACACACACAGAAGCAGAAAAGTATTAATAATATGAATTAGATCATTTGCACAAGATAATTGAGAAAAGTAATGTATTTTGAGTCTTTGGTGAGAATTGGGTACTTTGATGAGCACTTGGGGTCGACAATTGTTTATGAGAAATGTTTTAACTGAGGATTTAGAAGATTGGAAATTTAGTGTGGGTGTGGGGGGTGGACAATTGTTTATGAGAAATGTTTTAACTGAGGATTTAGAAGATTGGAAATTTAGTGTGGGTGTGGGGGGTGGGGAGGAGTTGGGGTAGGGGAGGAGAGTGTGGGGGAGGGGATTGGGGGTGGGGGAGGAGGAGGTGGGGAGGATTGGGGTGGGGAGGAGGGGGGGTGGGGGGAGGAGAGTGGGGAGGATTGGGGGTGGGGGAGGAGAGTGTGGGGAGGATTGGGGGGAGGGGGGGTGGGGAGGAGAGTGTGTGGGGAGGATTGGGGGTGGGGAGGAGTGCGGGTAAAGAGTGATTGTGTGTGTGGAGGCGATGTGATTGTGGGGCAAACTTGTAGTGGGATAATGATTGTGTTGGGGTAATTGTAGCATATGATTGTGGGGAATAATTATGTGTGTGTGTGTGTGTGTGTGTGTGTGTGCTGGGTGATATAACTGTGTGTGGAGGTGATTGCGTTGGGGTGTAGTGATTGTGTGCTTGATGAATACGCATGAAGGGGGGGAGGGGAAGGTAGTGATTGTGTGAGCAGGGAGACGTGTGTCATTGTGTTTTGGCGGAGAGTGTGTGTGTGTGTGTGTGTGTGTGTGTGTGTGTGTGTGTGTGTGTGTGTGTGCGTGCTTGTGATTATGTGCGGGGGGAAGGTGTGTGTGTGTGTGTGTGTGTGTGCTTGTGATTATGCGGGGAGGGGTGTGTGGTCATATGTGCGTGCGTGTGCGTGCGTGTGTGTGTGCGTATGCATACGTGTGTGATCATGTGTGTGTATGCATACGTGTGTGATCGTGTGTGTGTTTACATACGTGTGTGTGTGTGTGTGTGTGTGTAAGCGTGCTTGAATGTGTGCATGCCTCTGTTACCGTGTGTGTGTTTGTGCATGCGTGTGTGTATGTATATATGTGATCGTTTTTGTGTGTCATCA